TTTGGCCACCTGCACATCCTACTCATCCTTTAGAACCTGGAGAAGCTGCAACCCACACAGCAGCTTTCTGATCCCTCAGCCTGGTTGGTAAGCACCCAAAGCACCTCCACCAAACCTCTGCAACAGTTTCATAAAACTGAACTCCCTTGAGCACAGGGATACATCTCTTGCTCAATTCCATAATCCTCAAAGTGCAGAGTCAGGCACCCAACAAATGCTCACTAAACATTTATGTGTATTCTGTGACAGCTGGCAGGGAGCAGAAAAGGGATCCTGTGGTTCAATAACAGAGAACCCAGACCTCGGCTCCTTATAAGGTTTCAAAATCATGTCACATGAGAGCACACAAGAGTTGGCCAAGAGAAACGGACAGGGAGACACCCTGGGCACAGAGACAGGAGCAGAGTGCTTCGGACAGGCTGCTCCTGCAACCAGCTCAAGTCTGGAGTACGCAGGGAGTACTGAGGGAACTAGGGGCAAGATGAGACTTCAGAGGACTGCCTTTTTCGTCATGCAGTTGTTAGCTCACAATTCACCTCCTGTCCAGTGGGCTTTTAAAACAGCTCCCAAAAGGGCCAGGGATTTAGCTCAGTGGCTTCGCTTCCTGCTGCGCAAGCTCAAGGACCCGAGTTTGATACCCGGTACCAAAAAAAAAAAAGGAAAAGTGTATTTTAAAAAATAAATAAATAAATAAAACAGCTCCCAAAAATAAATAAATGAAAATAGTTCCCACTCTATCCCCCAAATTATTCTCTATCCTGTTATCCTGTTTTCTCTTTTGGAGTACCTATTAGGAGCTGAAACATTTACCATTCCTTAAAAATATATTTATTGATAATCACCACTATAACTATCACAAAATAAGCCTCAAGATGGGTGTGGTAGCACACATCTGTAATTCCAGCTCTTGGGAGGCTGAGACAGGAGGACTGCCATGAGTTAGAGGCCAGCGTGGGATAGTGAATTCAAGGCCAGCCTGAACTACAAAGGGAGACCCTGCCTCAAAAATAAAGCTTCATGACCCAGGTGTGGTGGCACATGCCTGTAATCCAGCAATCTGGGAGACTGACGCAAGAAGATCCCAAATTGCAGCCCAGCCTGGGCTACACAGCGAGTGTTGGGTAGCCTGAGCTTCAGAACTAGACTGCCTCAAAAAAACTCAAAAACAGTAGGTTTCATAACTGGGACATGGTGGCACATGCATGTAATCCCAGAAATTTGGGAGGCTGAGTCAGGAGGAACACAAATTGGAACCCAGCCTGGGAAACTTAGAAAGGCCTGTTTCAAAATTTGGAAAATAAAATGGGCCGATGATGTAGCTCAGTGCAAAGGCCGTGGGTCCAATCCCCAGTTGAATAAAAAATAAAAATAAAAACCTAGACTGCAAGAAACAGGGTTTTTTGTCTGTAGTGCCTACAATAATGCTCAACACCTATCAGACATTCAATATTCATTTAGTCAACACCAAATATTTATTCAGCACATACAATACATCAGGCACTTTTCTATATGCTGGAGATATAAGAGAAAATTCTGTTGTTGTGGAGCTTATCCTGAGTAAATACATTAAATATCCTCAGCCAAGAGAGGGAAATGAGGGAAAGGAAAGACCAACTAGCAGCTTTCAAAGATGTGTAGGGCAATTAATGGAAGGCAGATCCCAGCAGCCTAATAAGCAGGGTCGATGAGCTGAGACTACTGGGTAACTGCTTTCAGCTCAGCACAGGGCTTGAAGTCAGAACTGGGGAAAGACCAAACTAGAGCAACTAGAAGTAGTGAGCTTTCTGTCATTGCAGAAAATTGGTTAGTGGGCAGCGGTGTTACAGAAAAAACCCTCCAAGCAGTCAACAGAAAAGGAAGCGTGGGACACAGAGGCTCCCAACTAAAAGCCAGACCGACCGGTGACAGCTGCACATGGTTTTTTGTTGTTGTTTTTCAAAGAACTGAGTTTGTTGCCACTTAAAAAAAAATACTCGTGGGCCGGGATGTAGCTCAGTGGCGCCACGCCTGCCTGACAAGCACGAGGTCCGGAATTCGATCTCAGGTACCGACCGAAAAAAAAAGTACTCGTGGCTGGTGTTTAGAAGTAAGGAGATAGCTTCTTTGGTTTCGCTTCTCCCAGGTCATGTTAGTACCGTGTTTATAAAATTCAGTAAAAATCAAAGTTCTACTCCATTTCTGACCCGACTGACTCCTAGGAAGCGCGGGCCTGCCAGCTTTCAGCCACAGCAAGGCATCTGCAACCTGAGCTAGACGCCCATGGAGATTCTTCCTGTGGCCTCCTCCTGTAACAAAGCGTCTTGCCTCCCATTTCGCAGATGACCAAGGACGACAGCCGGAGTCTCCGGCAAACCCAGCACCGCCAGGACGACTCCGAGACCTCAGCACCCGGAGCTCCCGCGCGGACCCGAGGCGGACGGGGACGTTGCCGCGAGCTAGTGAGAGGGGACGACAGGCGGATCAGCACCCACCGGGGCGTGAGAGGAGAGTCCTAAGCCCCGCGGCGCTCCTCATTCCCCACTGACCGGCTTGCCGCGCCCCTCTGGGCCCCCAAAACGAACCCCACGAGACCCCCTCCGCCTTAGCCGCCAAGGCTCACTTACCTACGCCCAACTTCCGGCAACCGGGGCGCGTCCGCAGAGCGCGCCCTGATGACGCAACATGGCCCCACCCACCCCCAGCCGCTCGGAGCTGGACGCGCATGAGCGCGGGATACAGGGCTGCTCCGGGAAAGGAGCCCCTAGCACCGGGCGAAGAGGGCGGGACGAGAGTCGTGCGGAAGGCGTGGCACCGAGGTGGGCGAGGTCCCGCAAAAACTGGTAGAGAAGCTCCTCTTTTGAGGCGGGAATGTGTGTACGCAGGTCGAGCTTTTAAAAATGCCCACGTGTGCCAGTATCCCAGCACTCTGGGAGGCTGATGCCGGAGGATCACAAGTTCGAGCCCAGCCTGGGCGACTTATCGAGACCCTGTCCCTAAATAAAAAATAAAAGAGGGAAAGCTGAGGATGTAGTGAAAGCCCTGGGTCCAATCCCCAGTACCCTCCCCACCCCACCCCCACACAAAAGTGTCAGTGACTTCAGAGGTTGGCAGAAGTTATCGCTGCCATTTGCCAAAAGATGCAACATCAGACAACCAGGACCAATCGCCAGGCAGATGAAGAGAGAGATGAAGGTTGTATATGTGACAGCCAATGAAAGTTGACAGGGATCTTGCCGCTCTTTCTCTTCTCTCCAGCTGTCAAGCCCTAACCTCGCTCCTGCTCAAGAACTGGGTGTCGGCCAGGAGGTGGGACTGCACAGGAAGATTCCTCAACCTGCCCGGGAGCCTTCCCCACAGGAACTCTGGACCTCTCCACACAGTGAGGACAGCAGTGGCTGTTTGTCACCTGTGGTGTTTCTAGGGTTTCATGCCTCATCCTCCCAAGGATCCTCATGGCTTTGTTTTAATATTATCCTAGATCAGAGGCTAGGAAATTTTATTTATTTATATATTTATTTAAGTGGGGGGGGGTTGAGACAGAGTCTTGTTATATAGCCCAGGCTGGCCTCAAACTCATGGTGATCCTCCTGCCTCAGCCTCCAGAGTGCTGAGATTACAGCCTGGGCCACCATGCCCAACTACACTAGGAAAATTTAATTGGCTTGCTCGTATTTAAAGGATTTGGGGCCCAGAATTGTTTGACTCTTGCCAAATAGGAGAATGAGGCCAGGCATGGTGTATACCTGTAATCCCAGCACTTGGAGGTGAGGCAGGAGGATCACAGTGAGTTCAAGGCCAGCCTGAGCTGCATAGCAAGATCTTGTCTCTAAATAAATAAATAAATGAGAATAAATCCAGACTTAGCAAGGATACTTTACTGGAAAGGATTATTCCAAGGGGTGGGAGGGGAGCTACTGCAATACAGAAACCACTGTAACCAAAAGCTCGCAGGTGTCTCAAAGGAGAGGCAAAAGTGATTTTCTTCATAGGAAGATTTTGTGCATGGAACAGTCTGTGTACACCGGACCATCGGAAAGCAAAAGTGTCTCTGCTGGCCACCCACATGGACAATCTGAACTTCCTGCGGTGGCTGCAGGTTGGCAATCAAGGTTCCAGATTCTGGAGCACACCAGTTTTCAGATTAGGGATATGCAGCGAGGATGAATCATCAAGTCTGTGGAATGCTGTTAGAGCAGCACAGAATAGCTTTGCATACCTGGTAACCATCCCCAGACTGTTTTCACCCCTTCAGCTCTGACCCAGCCCTGAAGAGTTGAAGCCACATCTCTCTGTCCCGGGCCACCTGCTGTCTCCGAATGGCCTAGGACAGTGCTCAGAAAGTTCATGTTAACAGAGGAGGCCTGGACATCCAGATGGCTGTGGGGCCCAGAACTAAGGACCACTCCAGGGGTAAATACGGCTCCTCGTTAGGGATGAGGGTACAGCTCACACAAGACCTACCCAAAGCCTGGGTGGGGAAAGCAGGGCAGCCCACTGGGCACCAAGACCATGGAGCATCAAGAAAGATTCAGGGAGGCTGGGTGGGGTGGCATATGCCTGTAATCCCAGCACTTGGGAGGCTGAGGCAGGAGGACCACCATGAGTTTGAGGCCAGCCTGGGCTAAATAGTGAGACCCTATGTCGAAAAACCAAAAGAAGAAAGAAAAGAAAAGTAAAGAAAAGAGATTCAGGGCCCACAGAAAGGCAGAGAACGTTCTCAGACAGTGTGAGGATACATCACAAGACTAGAGAGACTGAGGTCAATCCACTGTCACCACCTGTGCTGCAGTCAGCAGAGCAGGACACACACTTCCCATAGGGGAGCCTCGCACATGCCACACCAGTCAGGGCCACGAGAGCCAGACACACTCCTGTCTCCCTGCAGCAGAGGTTGGCTTAATGTCTGGGTTTTGTTTTATTTTCTTCCTTCTTGTACTGGGGACTGAACCCAGGGCCACCAGCTACATCCCAAGCCCTATTTAGTTTTATTTTGAAGACAAGGTCTTGTTAAAGTGCTAAGTCATCCAGGCTGAGCTAGAACTTGAGATCCTCCTGCCTCAGCCTCCCAGAGTGCTGGGATTGTAGGTGTTCACCCCCATGTCTGGCTCTGACTCAGTGCATTGTTAAAATCTGTATGAAAGCCCTCTCTGTTCCTGACACTCTGAGCAGCAGAGGCACTGCACACACTAATGGACAGATCTTGGTTCTTAGGTTCTGACAGTGTCTATTTATTGTTCGTTTCAGACCCAAATCCAGGACTCCAACCCAAAACCAGGCTCACTCCCATTTCTGTCCCTGTTGCTGGGGGGATCCCCACACTGGGCACATGGCCCCATCTGTGAGCGAGGGTCCCTTGAGGCTTCTTTGGTTCCGAAGCGCTGATCTCAGCTGGCAATGGCAGCTTCTGACACCAGGAATAACATCTCTGCAGTGCCCCGATTTTGAGCATGAACTTTCCAGGAAGCAAAGTGGAAGGAGAGTGAATCTTCTTCCAAAATCCTTTTGGAAAGACATTTACAGACGTGACCAGAAAGCAACCAGTACCCTGCTAGAGTCTTGTCATGCTCCACAGCACCTTCCTGTACATTTTCTCTGCCCAAGGGACTCCAAAAGGGAGAAATGAACAAATCATAGAGCAGTATCCTTTCAAACAGCACATTTTAGGGAAGTAAAAATATCTCATGTGAACAGGTCATGCACACAGGAACACAAGACACAGAAGATCTGCGTGGATAAGCATTTCCACTTGCTATACATGTTAAGTTTTAAAATACATATCACAACCAGACTGCGACGTAAGCATCATATAAACTACACGTCCCCACGGCTTTGCCACTTTTGACTCCACAAGGAGACTATAAAAGAACACGAAGACCTCTTGACTTGCAGATGAAACTGTCCACTGTCCCTTCCAGGAGTCTCCCTCTGTGGCTGGAGATTTGCTCTGAGGCAGCTGCTCTTCTTCCTTACATGTCATTTGGGGAATTGTCACCACTCTTGGGAATCTTGTGTGTAGGTGTGGGCTTGTAATATGACACATTTTTGCCTTTTGGAGAAAATGTGTTAGGACAAGCTGAAACCCCGGTGGGTTTTCGCCCTGACTTCCTTGTACAGCTACCTCTGCGACCTTTGACCTTCAGCTCCCAGTGACACATGGCCGAACCTCACTCTGCTCCTGCATGAGCTGGAACTCACGTGCCACCCTCCTCTCGTGGTGTGGTGAGAGCCAATGCCATATGCCTGGTCCAGCCCTTGGGACATCGGCTGTTCTCGCCTTGGCCCTTTGCTTTGAACATGCAGCCCTTCAAATTGCTTCCTGTCTCTCTCTTTTGAAGGCAGCTTTTGTCCCCAGGTACTGAAGAACCCAAAGGAAGTTGGGGTAGAAAACACGGACATGCATGCTGCATAATTTCCTGCCAACTCTAAGCCACGTGTGGGTGAGAAAGGGTAAGGTAGAAGCTCGGGCGGCCCCAGCATGGGTTCTGGAGAGAGGTGCCCACTGGGCTTTTGTGGTTCCCCCCCCACTGCTCCCAGTGCAGTCTTTTTGCTGCTCACCGCCACCTGCTCTTCTTCAAGCACCACCTGCTGAGACCTTTTCACCACTCAGCCCCTAACCAACACTGTGGCCTCCACTGCAGGAAGCCCAGGTACCTGCAAGACACAGGCTCCCACCCTCTGCCTCCTTGGAGCCAACACAGAGCCACAGTTCCTGGCCGCATCCCTTGCCCAGCCCTCAGGGAGGGATGCGCAAGATTCTCTTGAAGGTCTTCCTGAAGTTCTCGTTGCACAGCGGGTAGATGAGCGGGTTCAGCGTGGAGTTGAGGTAGCCCAGCCAGATGGTGAACATGTGCACAGGCTCGCTGCAGCAGCTCTTGCAGAAGGCAATGACCATGAAGAACACAAAGTAGGGGATCCAGCAGAGGATGAAGGCTGCCATGATGCACCCCAGCTGCTTGGCTGCCTTCCGCTCCCGGCTCAGGTGCAGCCCAGATGCATACTGCTGGGAGTGTGAGCGCAGCCTCCTCCATGTGAACTTGATGTAGTCCAGGCCTGTGCTGGACCCACTGCACAGCTGCCTGCCACCCGGTGCCACCTCAAGACTGATGTCAGAGTCTGTGGTCCTGGAGAAGGACTGCCTGTCCACCAACATCCGATCCTCCGGCATGGCTCTGATGTCACATGCGACCTGGCTCTGCTCACCAGGCCCAAGCTGGCTCTGCCTGTGGTCCAGAGCTTCATAGCACCTGCCACCTCCCACTGCCACCATGGGCATCTGCAGAGTGCCTGCCTCTCCACCCTCCTTTTGGCTAAAGACAATCTTGGATGTGGTCACCATGGGGGCTCCAGTCGATGGCATCGGGGCGGGCGCCCCACTGACATCTTTCGACCGCCTTTTCAGATCCTCCCAGAGCGACTCCTTTCCCGACTTCCCTGTGTCCACCTTGGTGCTTTCTGGTCTCAGTTTCATCTCTGAGAAGGAAGGGAGGGACCCGTTGATAAGCTGGCGGTGCTGACAGTGTCGCCGCACGGCCTTGTAGATCCTGAAGTAGAACCAGAGCATGAGCAGGGTGGGCAGGTAGAAGTTGATGATGGCGGTCATGATCTTGAACCAGGTGACATCGTAGAAGTCCGTCTCACACTTGTTCTCCCAGGGCCCCGACGTCGGGGCCATGAAGTGCCAGCCCAGGATGGGAATCACCCACAGGAAGGAGAGAAGCCAAGCCCCCAGGATAGTGGCCGATGCACGTGTCTTGGTTCGGTACCTCAAGTACCTGAGAGGCTGCTGGACTGAGCGGTAGCGATCAATGCACAGGATGAAGACGCTGAAGATGGACGCTGTGCTGGCCACATAGTCCATGGAGAGCCAGAAGAGGCAGAGCGGCCGGCCTAGGGTCCACACGGACATGTGGAGGTAAAGGATGCTCATGGGCATGACCACGGCACCCACAATCAGATCGGCCACGGAGAGGCTGACGATGTACAGGTTGCCCACAGTGTGCAGCTTCCGCTCGCTGCGCACAGCATACAGCACCAACAGGTTGAGCACCACGGTGACCAGTGACACACTGCTCAGCACCACCACCAGAGGCACCAGCCGGGGGCTGGCCGTGGTTGTCCCATTGCCTTTGCATATCCTGTCTTCTGGGGCACAGGAGGAATTGAACAGGGTCATCAGGGTCATCCCTGGGAGGAAAGACACAAGGACAAGGCCGGAGGTCAGACATTCCTGATCACCAGCATCACCTTCCCCAAACTGGGTTGGGTGCTTTTGGGCCATCTAACATCTGCTTACCCAGCTAACATTCCAGGGCTGCCCTTCCCCACTCATTCATTCATTCATTCATTCAATTCATTGAAGCTGGGTATGGTGGATCAGTCCTGTAATCACAGTACTCAGGAGGCTGAGGCAGGAGGATTGCCATCAGTTCAAGGCCAACCTCAACTATATAGTGAGTTCAAGGCCAGCCTGAACTACACAGCCGGTGTCAAAATAAATAAATAAACCCAATTATTGAATTCCTGGCATTGTTCTAGGTGTAACACCTATGGCAGTGAATAAAACAGACAAACTCTCAGCCCTCCTGGCGCTTGCAATCTAGGGAGGGAGGTGAGCCAAAACTAAGCAGTAAATAACTAGTGTTAGGGCCGGGTGTGGTGGCACACACCTGTCATCCCAGCACTCGGAAAACTGAGGCAGGGGGATCACTGCAAGTTCAAGGCCAGTCTCGACTACGTAGTGAGTTTGAGGCCAGCCTGGACTATAGAGCAAGACCCTGTCTCAAACAAACAAAACCAGAGTCAGTCTCATCCTGCACATGTTCCAGGAAGGGCAGGCCAGAGCAGATGGGTCCAACCTGAATGCAGTACACTAGTTCCTCTTTGCTGGGCCAAGGAAATGCAGGTGGCATTCAGGGAAAGCTCCTCTTCCTTTCTCCCTGAAGGGAACTGGGGAAGGTGGCTGGTACTATGGGATTCATTTTGGGGGCCAAGAAAACCACCAAGATGCCAGCTCAGCATCCTGCTGACTGAACTCTGGAAGCTTCCTCCAGGATTTTAATATGAGGAATAATGAGATGCCTTCTTTGCTTAGGCCACAGTCCAGGGGGATTCTGCCTGCAGCTGGAATCCTTCCAGCATGGGAGGGTATAGAGGGGTGTCAGGAGGACCCCAATCCCAAAGTGTGCCCAGTAGCCCAATAGGAAGGGTCTCATGCTGTGGTGTGGCTCATTGGTAGAGCATGTACTGAGCATGTGCATGGCCCTAGGTTCAATCCTTAGTCCTGCAAAAATTATTTTAAAAAGAGGAAGAGATGTTTTCAAATGGGAGGGAGGGCTATGTTATTCAAAAGCATATTTATCATTTCACGTTCCTTTTTTTCTTTTTCTTTCTTTTTTGGATTTTTGAAACAGGGTCTTGCTATGGAGTCCAGGCTGGCCTCAAACTCACTGTGTAGCCCAGGCTGGCCTAAGCTCATGGCAATCCTCCTGCTTCAGCCTCCCAAGTGCTGGGATTACAGGTGTGCACCACAACCATACCCGGCTGTTTCACTTTCATATTTGAAAAACAAGAAGCATCTTTTTATTACACAAGCTGTGTCACACTAAACCTCTACTAGTGAAGGCTACACAGAAAACAGCTGGTGTCTCCTCTACCTGTGTCCTCAAGGAGGTGGTGTGCGTGTGGGCTTCTGCTCATTGTCATAGATTCCTGAGATACAGGTAATGAACTTATAAAGAGAATAGGTTCATTTGGACTCTTGGTTGGGATGTTGGAAGGCCAAGGCGGGGAAGGTGTGGTGGAGCAAAACTGCTCACCTCATGGTAGGAACTGAACATTAAAGGAAAGGTCCAGGTTACCAATGCCCCCTCCAAGGCCACACCCCAGTGACCTAAAAGCCTCCCACTAGGCCCCACCTCTTCCTGCCAACTCCCAATAGTGCCTCCCCGCTGGCCAAGCCTCCAACACATGGGCACTGGGGGCACTAAAGATCAGAATTAAAGCAGGTGGAAAATGGAAGTAGGGGTTAAAACTTACAGAAAGCAATTGTTAGATTTTCATATTCATTACTAAGTAGTATGATTTTAAGAAAATCTGAGAAATACTGCGTATCAATTTCTCTTGTTCCCTTATTGAAAAGGAAGTTTCTTTTTACATTAAGACAAAGCCAGATAAATTTTGGAGTAAAAAGCTAAATCTATATAATTTTTCAAGACAAAAATCAAGCAACCCCCCCCCGCAAATCGAGCCCCTATGGCATTTGATCCTTTTGTTGGGAAAGCATCCCTTGGGTAGCACTGATTTTGCCCTGGCTCTGCCACTGATTTTCTCAGTGATTTCACAACCTCAATTTGTCCTGGGATGGTGGAATGGAGGTCTCTAGAGATGCCCCCAGGTTCCTCAGAGCCTCCCTTGCTGTGTTTGTTTGACACAGGGTCTCATTCAGGATGGCCCTGAACTCATTATGTAGCCCAGGCTGTCTCAAGCTCATGGTGATCCTCCTGTCTCAGCCTCCCGAGTGCTGAGTGTGGTGGCTTTCCTGCTGTATGCTCCCACATTTTCCTGCAGCCCAGAACTGCCCTGCATGGTGAGAGCAGCCTCCTGCTCTCTGATTGAAGTTCCTCTGGCTCCTTCAACATCTCTCCATCCTGCAACAAAGTCCTGCCTGCCCATGCCACTCTTCCCTCGGGGACCTTCCCTACACCCCCCCTACACCCAGCCAGCACCCTTCTGAGGACACTCCCAAGCCTACGGCTCAGGCTGGTGGCTTTGTCCATCCCCACCACAAACCCAAGCACCTGCAGCTTCACCTGTAGCCCCGCCCAATCCAGCCTGGTTATGGTTGTCTACAGGCAGCCTGGGTGGAGGGAGGTCGCTGAGGCAGGAGGCATCTCTCAGGGTACTGTGTTTCCCAGTGTCTCCCAGAGGAGGATGCAGGAGGAGCTCCCGAAATGCTCTGCAGCATGGCATTCTCAGGGCAGCAGCAGCCTCCCTCTCCTAGAGGTGTCATTCTGTCTGTTCTCAGGGCCTGGGGCACAGAGGGGACAGAAACCTATTTTTTTAATTGTGTGTGTACCATTTAGCATATAAAAGTAATATTTCAAAGAAAATGATTTGTTTTGTGTGAAAATCTGTATTTTTTTCTTTTTGATGCAAAAAGAAAAGTTGCTTGGAGCTGTGATATGCACTGGTAGTCCCGGCTACTTGGGAGGCTGAGGCAGGAGGATCACATGAGCTCAGGAACCTGAGGTTCGCCTAGGCAACAGAGCAAGACCTCATCTCAAAAATAAAAGTTATGGCCGGGGATTTAGCTCAGTGGTTTCGCCGCCTGCTGCACAAGCGCAAGGACCCGAGTTCAATCCCCAGTACCTAAATAAAATAAATAAATAAATGTTATGATTGAGTTGATTTCACTGAACTAAAATTTAGTGTAGTATATTGTTTAGGAGTGGAATCTACAAGGTCTGCAATTTACTTTGAAATGAACCAAAATATAGGTTGGATGGATGGATGTTCAGAGGGATGGATAAATGAACAGATACATGTTAGAGTAAAAGGAGCAAAATAGGGGGCCAGGGCGTGGCTGAGGGGTGGCGAGCTTGCTTAGCACACGCAAGGTTGTGGGTTCAATCCCCAGCACCCCCCCCACACACACAAAGACCAACATGTGAATTCATAACCTAGGAAGTAAGGATATGGTGTCCGCTGTAAGATGCTTCCAACTTTTCTATTTAATCCGTAAATTTCACAATAAAATGTTGGGAGAAATGTAGCATGTACCATCTTCTTCGCTGATGATTGCATGTTCAATTCTTTATCCCGTTTTCTCCTCCCAGCCTGGATACAGTGTTTTGTACAGAGATTTTTTTTTTGGTACTGAGAATTGAACTCAGGTCCTTGTGCTTGCACAGCAGGCAGTGAAACCACTGAGCTAAATCCTCGGCCTTAGAGATTTTTAAGTTTACAAAAGCTCAGGGGCTGGGGGTACGGCTCTGTGGCAGAGTGTGTGTGTGTGCATGCATGAAGCCCTGGCTTCCATGCCCAGTGCCAGAAAAAATAGAAAGATGAATAAATAACCAAAAGGCAGAGTGCTGTGAAATAGTTCAGGCCTTGTTCATTCAACAAACATTCCCTGGGGCGAGCTTCCTACTCAGTTCACTGGTGGGATTGGAGGAGGAAAATGCACTCTGGTTCCCAGGGCTCCTCCAGTGAAGGATTTCTGGAAGGCAGCAGGTGCTTGGCCTGGGGGACGCGGGGTCAGCTCCCTCCCTCTGGGAGCAGGTGACCTGGGCGCCGGGCCTAGAAAATACTGACCACCCTGAAAGACCGTGGCGGCCACCCAGCTTGATTGCCAGGCCAGTTCCTAGGAAGCAGAGCGCCTTGGGGACAGACTGCTGAGGAACATGAATGTGGGCCACTTCCCAGTAAGAAGGCCAGGCCCGGGGTCCCATGGGGCCAGGCACGGAGACTGGGAATGTACAACGAGGGCAGCAGGGGGACAGGAGAAAAGCGCCCACTGCTCATGAGCCACTGGGGACCTGCCACCCAGCTGGGGCCCCAGGCACCACCCCCCTTTCCCTAGTGCTAGAGATAAAACCTAGGGCCTCTGCACTGTAGGCCAGAGCTCACCACTGAGCCACAGCCTAGCCCTCATGGGAACAATTTTTAAGTGATTAAGAATTTCAAGTAGGCTAGGGTATAGCTTAGTGGTAGAGCTTGCCCAGCACAGCTTTAGGCCCTGGATTTGATCCCCAGCACCACCAGCACACACACACACACACACACACACACACACACAGATTAACTATGTATGTTTGCCAGGTGTGGTGCCAAACACCCGTAATCCCAGCACTCAGGAGGCTGAGAGGCAGGAAGATCGCTAAGATTTTAAGGCCAGCATGGGCTACATAGTGAGTTCAAAGCTTGCCTGAACTCTATAGCGAGACTCTGTCTCAAAAAAAAAAAAAGTTCAAGAAGATGAATGCAGAGCACTGGACCAGGCTTGAAGCTGCTGAGCACTGGGTCTGTCCCATGCCAAGGATGCCAGCCCTGCTCTCTACCTTCCATGCAACCTCAAAACAGTTGCCACGGACTCTCCCCTCCTTCAGGGACCTGCGTTGACAAGCAGATTCATGAGTGGGTGCCCTGTGTTTCTTCTGGAAGGCCCGCAGTTGTGGCAAAGGCAC